GGGGTGACTTTGAAATGCAGCTAGTCATATCTAATAGCAGTTGTAGCTCCCCCTCCTTTGCTGTGTTGTAATCTCACCATTCTCAGGTCAGGCTTTGTTAAACTTGGTTTAAGCATTGCCTTGGGGACTTGAGGGAGTGTGGCAGATCCCCTGCTGGCTGCTGCTGGCAGAGTGACTGCCGGCGGGGGCTGTAGGAGCAACAAGGAGCCAGACCCGGATCCTTGGCCCTGGGAGACTTCCAGGCTGCGAGAAAGTAAGTAGGTGGGAGGGAAATCTGGGTGCAACCCCTAAGCGCTGGAAACACGAGGCACCCTCCCTAGCAAAGAGGCTCCGTTGATGGGCCCCATCCTTCAGAGCTTCCTCTCACAACTGCGCTGCTCCTGGGTCCCCTTGGCCATCCCTCCTGTGCCCACCCAGGACTGTGCCCACCTTGGTACTCTCCAGCCAACAGTGGGCTCTGGAAGGAGGCAGCAGCTGCTGACACTGGGCCTGAGGCTCGGGGTCGGGGTCGGCCGGTTGAGACCACACAACCATCCCGATTTCTAAATTGGAGCCTGGAAGTCGCTCTATTAGAAGGCTGGGCCAGTCCCTTTCCTTGGACTTCTCAGCAACGATATCAACGCGTCCACCGTGTGCTTTTAAATTTGAGGACAGCTGAGAAAAAGTGCAATAAACTGGTTTTTGTTTTGTTTCTAGTGAAAGGAGGGAGGCAACCTCCCAAGTTTGGGCAACATGGGTCACAGGCCAGGCCTCGCCTGGCCCAGGTGAGAGCTCTGCTGGCCACACCTGCGGAGGGCGGGGCTGCCTGTTCTCCTTAGCAGAAGGGCTTGGGGGATGTGGCCTGAAAGCGAGATAGTTTAAGGCTATCTTGTGGGTTCCTCTTTAAATCCCAAGTGAACACAGAAAGAAAACAGGCCCGGGGGGCAGCAGTGAGCAGATTCTTTACTCCGATTACACACCATCACCCACCCCGCGGGGACCGGCGGCCGCTCGTGTCCCTTCTTACAGGGAGTGGTAAGTACAAACCAAAATAGTTCTCTACAAAACAGTTTCCAGCCCTCCCAGCCCTCCTTCCTAACTCCCTCCCCCAGACGGTGAGTTCCTCGTCACTCCGGCCTGGGGTCTGGTGGGTTGCAAAGAAAACCGAGAAGATACAAAAGAATCACGTCAGCGACTGGAGCTGTAGGCAACTGGAGTTGAGGGCCCGCTGGCCGGTGGAAAGCCAGGGACAGACGCAGGGGGTGTCCGCAACAGTCGAGTGTGTGTGTGCCTGGGGGTGCTGGGCGAGCAGCGTTTCTCCCCACCCCCCGTCTCACCACCAGCCAAAAAAAGAGAAAGAAACGGGCGGCCGGAAATAGAAAAACAAAGACCAAAATCGCAGCCGCTGGGCCAGGACCCCCAGCGCCCCCTGCCGCGGGGCCGGGGCCCCGGAGGTGGTCTGGAGGGCGGAGGGCTGC